AGGCCACAGCAATGACTCGTGGCATAAACTTATTAGTATTGACATCTGGGAACGTACTACAGTAGTTCTCGGCTACTATGAATACCTATATTATGTATCTAATACCTCAACCAGCCTTAATTTAACAAAATAAATAAAACTTAAAGGCATATTGAAGCATCTAGGAAGATGGCAGAACAGTAAGCAGCAGAGTAAATAGCCTCTCTGAGAGAAACAGTCCAGATGCTGGAATACAGCTTTCTGGAGAAGACAAGAAGGAAAGAAGTGGGTCCCCCCAACCCAGGAAGAAACTAAAGTGAGAACTGAAGCCCACTTAAAGAAAAAGAAAAACTTAGAAGCGGTAGCTGGTGGCACTTTCACCAGAGCTAGAACCACCATGCCAGAAGCGCTGTTGAAACCTGGAGACCCATTGGTGAAGCTTGTGGCTAGCAAACCCAAAGGTCTTGGCGGGGAGACGTGGTGGTGGAGGGGAGCAGCAAACCAGAGAACTTCACTGGCTGGCGGTGAGTGTGTGGGACTCAGTTCTCCTGCGGGAGTGGGAGATTGGCCAGGCACCATTTTGGAGTTGAGCAGGATAAGCCCGGAGACAGAACTGCAGCCAGCTTTGTTCAGCCACTGCTAGCTCAGAGCAGTCTGGTGGGAATTGCTTGGACTCAGTCCCACCCCTCTACGCAGCCCAATAGCCACTGCCCAGGTTTCCCTAAAGCTATCCCTAACCAACCGCACCCACCCAGTGCATACTAACAGGGTGAAGACTCCCTAGGGTTACCCAGCTCAGAAGGGAGGGGCCAGCCTGTCCTGCCCCTGCTACACTCCAGCAGCCACCAGAAGACTGGGGAAAGCAGCAAACAGCAGAAATACCTAGTCAATACACTTCAAAGTATTATAACCAATATAGGAATTGCCAAGGACCCCACTACCCACTTGTTTGGAAGAAACCGGGAACATGACAAGAAGCAGCAGCAAAAGGCAGTCTCTGGCCTCCAACCCAAGCAGTACTGGTCCAGGAGAGTTTAAGATCATTGCTCTCAGTGGTTAAGTGCTCACCCAACTTCCACTCACAATAGACTAGGCTTAGGAGGTTTCGCAGGCTGGACTAGAACACTCCCAGTGACCTTCTTCAATCAGGGGAGCTGAGAGCACTCGGGTGAATTCCAGAACATCAGTGCTAGCCCAGGAAGAGCTTTGGACAATCACCCACAGTGGTGAGGAGCCCTCCCAGCTTCCTGAAATACTGGAGGTGGCACGGGAGGACCTGCAGGCCTGAGTGGGCCACGCTCAGCAACCACCATTCAGTCCCAGGAGCCAGGGGCATAGGAGGTGATGTCCAAAACACCCAGGGGAAGCTTTAGAACATCACTTGAAACACGGAAAAATAGTAAAATGACAAGACAAAAGACCAAAATTCAATCTCAAACCTCCAGCCCATCCCAAGAAAGCCTAGGAGTGATATACATAGAAGGAAATATATGCCATACACCTGAAATATGTGAAATAATAGCAACTGAAATAAAGAAACAAATCCAAGAAGCTTTCAAGGAATTCAAATTAGATATAATCTCCCAGGTAAAAGAAGAAATGATAAAAGTAATGAAAGAAATGCTGAACTCATCTAAAGAAGACACAGTTAAAAAATTAGAGAAACAAACAAACAAACAAAAAAGATAGAACCCCTGTGTGAACAATATAAGAAACAAACAGAACTCAGCTACAAAGAATGATCACATTGAGATATTTATAAATAAATGGACACAGCTTTAGACCATACTCATAAGTGAAGTAAATCAAACTCACATGTATAAATACTGTGTAGTCTCCCTAGTGTAACAAATGGTAAGAGTACATAAGATTTTATGGTAATCATGATTCCCCATTACATTGCTTTGAAGCCTTCTAATGTTTTCATTCATTAGTTGGAATGGTTTTATTCTGTTTTGTTTGAGTTTATTATGTGTGATGGTATGAACATCTATTTTGAAGAAAACAAGACATTATAATAGCAATTGCTGATTTAATATCATCTTGCTTTTAAGCCCTACCATGCTTTTGTTCTTCTGTTTCCATTGGTTCTATCATGTTGTATCTTATTGGATTTTAATATGTGTGATAGTATAAACAAATTTTTATGGAAAAGGAGATAGCATAGTAGCCATTGGTTGTTTTCAGTTATTTGGTTCTGAATGCCCTGTAATACTTTCATTCTCTTGAGTGGTTTTATATTATTTTGTTATGTTTGATACTATTGTATGTGAAGGTATGCTCAACTATTTCAAAGAAAGAGACATTATGGTAGCTACTATTAGTATCGGGTTGTCTTATGGTAAAGTATTGTGTTGCATACATTGTTCTATTCTGATCTGCTTTGTTCTGTCCTCTTTTGTCTTAATCTCTTTAAAACAAAAAAATAATAAGACTGTCAGAAAAGAAACAGATCACCTATAAAGAAAAACCCATCAGAATCATGACAGACTTCTCAATACAAACCATCAAATCAAGAAGAGCTTGGAGTGAAGTATTCCAAGTCCTGAAAGAAAATAACCTCCCACCCTGATTGATGTATCCTGAAAAACCGTATCTCAGAATTAAAGGAAAAACAAGATATTTCCATGACAAAGAGGAACTGGGGGAGCTCATGACCACCAAAACAACCCTTAAAAAAGTACTGAAGGACATTCTAGAGAGAGAGAGTAAAAAGACCATGCTTTCAGGAACAGTGGCAGAGGGGGCTCACTGAACGGGACAGACAGTGGAATGAAGGGGAAAAGTAGACAACTAACGGGCAGAAAAATTGCATGGCGGAGATGAGGCAAATAAGGTTTGCTATAATCACTAATACGGATGGCCTCTATTCACCAATAAAAAGAAACACAGGCAGAGAGGATCAGAAGACAGGGTCTATCAGTATGCTCTATATAAGAAATACAATTAACCCACAAGAGGGTTTATAGGCTGAAAGTCAAAGATAAGAAAACAATGCTCTGTGTGACAGGGAGCCAGATAAAACTGGGCGTAGCTGGCCCATCAGCTTCAGAATGGCTAAAAAGCCATAATACTTTTATACAATGGAAAACTACTCAGCTCTAAAGAAAGAAAACCTTGAGGCTCTTGTAGGTAAATGGATACAACTTGAGATCAGACTCAGGGGTAAAAAGGTTCAGAATCACTTAGGTGAATATTGGGCTGCCTCCCTAATCTAAAAACTAAAGGAGTTAGTGGGGTGCAAAATGTACAATGCACCCTGTGAAAGTGAAAGGGGAGGAATTGTCTAAAAAGGGAAGGCAGTGGCCATTGTTAATATTTTATCATGATTTGAAACCCATATTGTTTTCATTACTCTATCCAGTTTGGTTTTAATCTGCTCCAGTTTGTCTACTTATATTAGATTTGATGGCATGGACAGCTATTCCAAAGACAGCAGGATATATCATGGTACCCATTTTTTTTTACTTCCTGTTAACTTGATTTGAAGCCCTGTATTGCTTTCACTGTCTTGTTTGGACTTATTTTATTCTATTCTGTTTGTTTGATAGTATCAAGTCTGAGGATGTAGGCAACTACTTTGAAGACAATAAGATTCACTATGATACTCATTCTGGTTTGACTATTGTTATCTTATGAAGTCCTGTAATGTCTCCAATGTTTCAGTTTTATTGATTTTGTTTTGTACTGTTTTGTTCAATTTATACTTGATGATATGAGCAATTCTTCTGAAGGTAGCAAGAGGCATTATCGTAACAATTGTTACCATACAATTGTTGATCACCTTGTATTCTTTTATATCATGTCCTATGTCCATCAACAAAAAAAAAAGGATATTGAGCTCTTTTCACATAAATTAAAGTATATGTAGGAGTGATCCATGTGTCCTGAGACACTCTATAAAAGAAATACTACCTCTAGGAAAACAGGGTCAACAGAAAGATGAAATGTCCATACAAGATCTGAGATAGAGCAAGAACCTAGAATCCAAATTCTTCTTTGGCCAATATTTCTAAGCTATATCAAGTTGACTTAAGAAAGCTTATCTAAACATAGAAAGTACTGCTTTTTAAAACCCCATCCAAAAGATCCCAAATTTATAAATTAAGCAATGGCAACAATGTCACACCAACAGGAAAGACACTTAAGTGAAGGATTTGGTGCCTGACCATGCAACTCGGCTATTCAGTCATTTTTCTAAATGTCATCTATCATTGGGCACATTCCCAAATCTCATGCAACGGAATTTAAATGTCTAACGGGCTTTTCCCATCATAACAAACACCCAACCAAAGTAAAAGCTTGACAACCCTGACCCCTAGTGGCTGCAAAAAAAACCTAGAAACATTCTACTTAAGATAGTACCTCCAAAATACAAGGAATTTAATTATGAATACCTTTTAAGTACCAGTTCCAAAACCAACCATGTAAAAGTTTATTTTTGCTCTGGATTTATTTTAGACCCTTTATTCAAGGAGTTTAAAAGATATAGATAGGCTACATACATTTTCCGTTACCCCTCCACATTTAGCAATTTTTACTCATTTTCAAAGAGGAAAACAGAAAACTAAATGTCAATGCATATTTTGACAGACTTATGACTGTTTTACTTAAATTTTGTATATATATCTACAAACCTTTAGCTAGTCTTTGTGTGATTTTTCTCCTTAGGTATCCCATCAAATATAAAAGTCACCTGACCAACACATCACAGAGGTTCTCTATTGCCATGAGTCATCATTAGTAAAAGAGTAGTTGGACCAGCACAAAACAGCAGGTGTTTTCTTTAAAAGAGGTATAAGGACACATGTGGAAACCCTTAAAGTACACATCTAAAAGCAAAGTCCACACTGAACACTGCAGGAAGCCTTATGAACACAGCAGATCAGTTCAGAGCAAGCTATTTCTGCCCTAACCATTAGAAGATAAGTCTCTGCAGACCCTCCTGCACCTCTGATAGGCAGGACAGCAGGAAGCCTAAAATGCTCATCCCTTCCACCAAGGAGAGTGCTGACTCCTACCTGCTGACGTTTGAAGGCTAAATAATCTAGATTTTCCAACTCCTTCCCAAGCTTCTGGTAGGCTTTCTGGAGGTCAGACTTGTTGGAAACATTCTTAAAAGACTCAAACGTTCTTTGAAACTGAAAACAAAAATAAAAACAGATCATTAGATAATAGTATATTTTTCTCAAATTCCCTGCTAGCAAACCCAGAGGGAAAAAAATCAAGAATGAGCCTTGGTTTCTCCCCTCCATGATACAGAGATTTAAAAATGCTAGCTAATTATCTTTCAAGGAAATAATTAGGGACATTACAAAAATAAATATATCCTAATTACAACCAATTGGATTTGATGAAACAACTCTAAGAAAGACAGCATACTTCATTTTCAAAAACTAATACATTTCATGTTTTAGGATATCCTTTTAAATAAAAGTATTAAAATAAATGTATAATTTCAAAAAATAATAAGGAAATCAAAGGAGCACTCATACTCCAGTCACAAATTTATGAAAAGGTAGCTACAAGCATAATATTTTGCTGTAATGGCACAGGTCTGGCTTGCCTCTGTAGAAAATGTATGGGGAATAGGTCACCCAGAAAAGTTTGGAAAGGTAGATCCCTCAGAGCAGTATTTTAGAAAAAAGGAAGGAAAGACATTTCCTAACATTTTAATCATCAAAATATACGTGGCATATTCAGCAAACATTTATTCATGTCTGCTCCATAACACAGATGAGTTATGAAATCAATTCTGCTGAATTGGAATGTTCCTGTTCGTTTTTAAGTCAGACACTAGATAAATACAAAAATGATAAAGTACAGTACATCATGGAATATAGTCTGTACTAATAAGTAAAAGAAGCTCACAAGAAATTAAATTCTTGGTGTATTTTAGTAAATCAGAACATTTGAAGAGTTAGCGCTTGAAAATGTCATGTAACATAATTTTTAAGACATTTGCATTGACTCCCTCTGTGTCATTTATTTCCTAAATTCTTTTTACTCTGTGGCATTACATTTCTACAGATAGAGACTTCACCACCTTTAATACACCAGAATACCCCTGTGACCATGATGCCAGGAGATAGGCTAATAAGGTTTTATAGAATATAATTAAGTTTCCAAGGAAATGACTCTTACTGTATCAAACTCTATGAAATAAGTCATATTAGAGAGCCATTCTACTGAATTACATCCTCAATTCCACGAAAGCAACATGTTTATCTCAATCCAAGGTGACAGAGGAAAAAGAAATGGGAAATAATAGAGCTAAACTATGGCAAGACAGCAAATTAAATTCAACAAATAGTCATTTAGAACTACTATGCTGAAGGCACCTTGAATATAAAACTTGTCTTGCCCTAAAGGAACTTACAGATTATGGAACAAACTAGACACGAAATGGGAAGGACACCAACATGTCCAGCCCAAGGTACTTTATGCTTTCAGCTGAATTCTCACAAGAACCACGAGTCCCTATTGCTATTCACATTTTACAAATGAGTAAACTGAGACTCAGAACATTTGGTTAAAGTAGTGTATTACTGTAATATTACCATTTACTCAAACACAAGGCAATCAGTAAAGAGTACAAAAATGAGATAAAATAAACATGCAGTGAAAATTCAACAATCTCACTGATATTGACGGAGGGACTTAGGTCATACAGAAGACATGAGGGAATCTGAGTTGGACAATAAGACTGGGGATTTAGCTCAGTGTCATAAGCCAGGCAAATGCAGGGTCGTGAGTTCAATCCCTGGTACAAAAAAAAAAAAAATGAGTGGACCACAAAGAAAACTTTCCAAAGACCTGTTGGAGTCCACTACGAAGCAGCTCTGAGCAGGATTTAAATTTTACTAATTGGCTTTCTATGTTTATCTTTGAGTCTGCCCTAGGCCTCGGCCCCTTACCTGGTAATAGGAGCTGATTCATAGTAAGTGAACCTCTATGAATCACTGGTCCTGGCTGAGGCCTGTAGTGGCCTGTGAGGCCAGAGATACCTCAAAGGGCAAGATAAGGCCACAGCTGCGGACCCTCTGGCTCCAACCCCAATTAACAAGGTAGAGACTGCAGCTGCAAAGATTATTCCTACAGTTTCACTTCTACCATGTCTTCATGATAAGCCAGTCCTACTAATTCACTTGATTCATGACTTGGAGACGTCTTTTTGAAGTGACTCCCAAGGTCCTGTGTTGCCTGCACTTTCCTCAGTTTCTCTGCCCTTTGTCCTTGGGCCTAATATAAACGGACTGATCCAGAGAATCTTTTGTCTTTACCCTCAAAGTCTCGAGCTTAATTAAATGGTTTTGACCCTCCTGGAGCCCTAAAAATCATACAGTTTGTCTGTTTTTATTTAACCTCTGCCGTACACTCGTTTGGGAGATCAGGGATCTAGGACAGGAAGCAAGCACCTCCCCTCCCTGGTAAGCAGCAGCAGTATGGCCCACTGCAGCCCTTCCAGGGGGAGAACCAGCAGTGTCTCCTGAGATCCGCACCATGTTGGAACTTAGGACTCTGGGAAGCCAAGCAAGCACCTCCCCTCCATGGTAAGCGGCAGCAGTGTGGTCCACTGCAGCCCTTCCAGGGGGAAAACCAGCAGCAGCTCCTGAGATCCACGCCATGTTGGAACTGAGGACACTGTGAAAACAAATGACCATTCTGCCTCCCTGCTTAGCAATAGTGAACCTACTGCTACATGGCCTAGAGTCAAATATCCCACTTCCGGTATCCTCCTCCTCCTCCCCGCCCATTAGCAAGTGGGAACCAGAAATCTGAGCATCTCCTGGGAGATTGACCATAGCAAATAAGGGGAACTTCCTTCTACCATTTTCTTTGAAGGCAAATATTTTTATTACTGTTTTGCTATTTTCTGATTAATGGTACTGCTCTATTCAATATTCTGTTTTGATAAGTTCTATAGTGTTCTATATTTCATCTCATTTTAATATACGTGACTGAAAGAACAACTATTATAAAGATAACAAAATATACTGTGATACCTATTACTGTTATCCCGGTAACCTGCTGTGAAGTTCTGTACCAATTTCACTGTACGATCTTAGTTGGCTTTATTCTGACTTGTTCTGTTGTATACTTTCAAAATAATAAATAAATAAATAAATGGACAGAACCCAATACCTATATGTGAATCCATCCCACTTATCAGTTCAAACATCAGCAACATTTGATTATTTTCCTACTTTTGTAATTTAAGCCCTTTTCAACATAATTTGATGACCTTTATTAAATATTTATCATGTTGTATGATCATTTCTGTACCTTGCCTATTTATTGATCCCTTCTTACTACATTCAAATCAAAATAATACTAGATCTAACAACTTAAGTATTTTTATCTATGAATTAATACAAGCTATTTTATCAATTTCATTTAATTCTAAATCAATTTTATTCTCTGTTCCTCCTCTTCTCTAAGAAATATTAGCTCTGCTTAAATATTTCCTCTTCACATTTATTTCTATGCAGTTTACACAATTCCAAATGAAAATTTTAGGAGAAATACACTGGTAAGACTTCAAAATAATAAACACATAAAACCAGTACTTTCATGTAACATGTCCATGAACAAGTGAGAAGGTGGGAAAATTCAGAAATAATACGTCATCTTTGAGAGTGTTTTAACTAAAGGTCATAGTTTGAATAATGTACAGATTTGAGTTTGAACTTTCATTATCAGGATTTAATCTACACGAATACAGCCAGGACTGTGGCAGGTGAAGATTCCCTAACCCTCATTGCCAATGAAAGCCCTGGCTTCCTTTTGTAGTCAGAAGAATTGATTCAAATAAATCCATACCTCCAGCAACCTACTAATTCCACTAATGAAAAAAATCAAGTATTGCTCCAAAACAAGAGATAGATCAATGGTTGTCGCCTTTTCTTATTTAATATTTTTGCATTTATACAAGGTACTGGGTGCTACCTGTAGAAAAAAAAGAAATTCAAGACTTATATGTACAAATGAGGATCCAATAAGTGTCTGAGTGATAGCACTAGATCACTAAGTGTGATCTTAGTTTCCCTAAAATGTCAGTTTAAAGCAATGTCAAAAGATTCTGAAGACTAAAAGTGAAAGAGGGGCCGGGGATTTACCTCAGCGGTGTAAGCACCTGCCTGGCAAGCACAAAGTCAGAGTTTGATCCCCAATACCAAAAGAGAGAGAGAGAGAGAATATACTCAAAAGAATAATACTAGTGCTCTATAAATATTCATGTGTAAAGCTTTTTTTAAAAAGCCAAGCATAAGAAATGGCTAAACTACCTTAATAAATATGGCAACCACAAAGAAAACAAAATGATGTACTATAGAAAAACTCACTTCTTTTTCTAAACTGACTGTCATGCATATATTCCAAATGTACCTACAAAATGATAATACCTCTCATTAGGAAATTTATAGGACTGAAGATGTGGATCGTGAGTTGAATCCACAGCATCAACCTCCAGAGCAGGAAAGTTTACATCTGAATTTGAAAATTAAAACACAGATATATATCTCAAACGAGTTTTCACTATAAAGAGTGATTATGCAAAATAAAAATTAGAAATAGTCCTGTTAAAGGAACACTGGCCTTGAAATGTGCAATATAAAACCTTGTTATGGTATTTAATAACTAAATAATTTTGGGCAATTCTCTACCACTCCAGCTGTGCACTATGTTACCCATAACAAATTGTCTTTGTCAGCTTACTACATAAGGTTGTAAAAATTAGTTGAACAAAAATGAAAGATCACATCATGAAGCAAGCCCTGTCTGGGAATCAGGACCATGCACAGACCACCGCCACACCGGGAACCAGACCCTAGCCCCTCCCGGCAAGCAGGCAGCAAACAAAAGTACCCCACACTTAAGTGACTGGTTGATCTGGAGAAATACAGGCTGTGATAGTAGCTATCAGGTGAAATGCAATTTCAAGGTGAAATGCAATTTCAAGGTGAAATGCCTGCGGTGTTTAGGTGTTTCCCTGACCTTGCAGGTCTAGGGCCAGTGGTCACATCAGCTCAGAGGATAGCAGTACACAATGTGGCATCTAGAAGGATTCTCCTTCAGAGGGTTGTAGATAGTATTGATTCCCTATTGTCTTGTTTTGAAGTCCTATATCATTTTCATTGTT